CGCCAGGTCGTTGTATATTACCGTGAGAGACGACTATCGTAATATCTACCGTATCTCACTGTATACTACCGTAAGAGACGACTGTCTTGATATCTACTGCATCTCACTGTATATTACCGTAAGAGACGACTATCGTGATATCAACTGTATCTCACAGTGTATTACCGTAAGAGACGACTATCGTGAGGTCTTCTGTATCTCACAGTGTATTACCGTAAGAGACGACTATCGTGAGGTCTACTGTATCTCACTGTATATTACCGTAAGAGACGACTATCGTGATATCAACTGTATCTCACAGTGTATTACCGTAAGAGACGACTATCGTGAGGTCTACTGTATCTCACTGTATATTACCGTAAGAGACGACTATCGTGAGGTCTACTGTATCTCACTGTATATTACCGTAAGAGACGACTATCGTGATATCTACCGTATCCCACTGTATATTACCGAACGAGACGACTATCGTGAAGTCTACTGTATCTTAATCTTACAGAATATTCCCGTTAAAGACGTCTTGGGTATCTCGTCGTATAGTATATCATGTGTTATAGTATGAGATGATGTCTACTATATTTCTATACTATAGTAACGCCAGGTCGTTGTATATTAGCGTGAGAGACGACTATCGTGAGGTCTATCGTATCTCACTGTATATTACCGTAAGAAAAGAATATCGTGATATCTACGGTATCTCAATGCATATTACCGTAAGAGACGACTATCGTGATATCTATCGTATCTCACTGTATATTACCGTAAGAGACGACTACCGTGAGGTCTACTGTATCTCACTGTTTATTACCTAAAGAGACGACTATCGTGAGGTCTTCTGTATCTCACTGTGTATTACCGTAAGAGACGACTATCGTAATATCTACCGTATCTCAATGTATATTACCGTAAGGGGCGATAATCGTGATATCTACTGTATTCCACTGTATATTACCGTAAGAGACGACTGTCGTGATATCTACGGTATCTCACTGTATATTACCTAAAGAGACGACTATCGTGAGGTCTTCTCTATCTCACTGTGTATTACCGTAAGAGACGACTATCGTGATATCTACCGTATATCACTGTATATTACCGTAAGAGACGACTATCGTGATATCAACTGTATCTCACTGTGTATTACCGTAAGAGACGACTATCGTGAGGTCTACTGCATCTCACTGTATATTACCGTAAGAGACGACTATCGTAATATCTACCGTACTTCGCTGTATATTACCGTAAGAGACGACTATCTCCAGGTCGGTCGTACTTCAAGGTTTATTACCATAAAAGACGACTTTTATGATATCTACTTTATCCCACTGTGAAGAGACTACTATCGTGAGATCTATCGTATCTCACTCTATATTATCGTAACAGATGACTATCGTGAGGTCTATCGTCTCTCACTGTATATTACCGTAAGAGACGACTATCGTGAGGTCTACCGTATCCCACTGTATATTACCGTTCGAGACGACTATCGTGAGGTGTACTGTATCTTAATCTTACAGAATATTCCCGTTAAAGACGACTATCGTTATATCTACGGTATGTTACTGTGTATTACTGTAAGAGACGACTATCGTTATATCTACGGTATCTCACTGTATATTACCTAAAGAGACGACTATCGTGAGGTCTTCTGTATATCACTGTGTATTACCGTAAGAGACGACTATCGTTATATCTACCGTATCTCACTGTATACTACCGTAAGAGACGACTGTCGTGATATCTACGGTATCTCACTGTATATTACCGTAAGACGACTATCGTGATATCTACGGTATCTCACTGTATATATCCGTGAGAGACGATAATCGTGATATCTACGGTATCTCACTGTATATATCCGTGAGAGACGATAATCGTGATATCTACGGTATCTCACTGTGTATTACCGTAAGAGACGACTATCGTAATATCTACCGTATCTCACGGTATTAAGTCAAAACCGAAGTTTTATGTCCATGTCCTCTGCACAGCCGATCGGGAAATGACCTCTTACTACCTGTTGTATAGCTTCACCGAAAATAAAGTGCATACGGCAAATTAAATATTGCAACTTGTTTCTGCGTCAGTGTTATGTGATGCCACTGTCAACAACAGCCATCCTGTGATTCTGTAATTATTAATATTCCTCCCTTAGCTCATTATTACCCTGCCTACGCTCTCTCATCAAAGAAAAAATCGGGGATTAACTGCTTTCCATTTTAGTCTAATGTGTCCCAGTCGTATGATCCCTGTTTACATGAAACCCTAGAATATGTACTGATGTAAGTCATTATCGTTGATGATGCAGCTTTTGGAAGCGAACTCACATTATAGATATATATATATATAGATTGTGACTAACATTTTATTGGACAAATCGATGTTACTTGTATTACTATGTTAACACGTGAACTGGACATCACAACTTATAGTCGCCTACAAGTATTCCGGTCACGTAGAATTCAATAGTGACCATCGGAGTCCTATTCATATCAAACCTTTAGGAGAGGTTATATTCATGGTCGAGAGTTTGCATTGATTATTTCCATTTGTTTATCGGATATATTAAAAGATAAAACCAAAACTAAGCATAAAGCCATTTCTCTTTCCAACATTAAACCTGACGTCACACGATACTGTTTACGACATCGTCCCACTTTATGGTATGGCTCTGAATAGCATTTTATGTAGAGTTTAGAGTTTCATTTGTGATGTAGATTTTACTTAACATCTACATCGTCTGACAGTGCAGGACCCAGCAAATCGCATCCCTTGATCCGTCCGCCTGTCCGTCATCCCTCTTCTTGGTCCCCCTTTCTGGTCATTAGATTTTTTGACTCATCAGAAAAAAACTGACTCTTTGCAATCTTGAACTCTAACTATGAAAGATTGCTATCGCTATTGTGTTGTTGAGACTGATCAGGAAATAATGGCTGACAAAAGGTCAGTTTGATTTTAGAGAGAAAAAGGAATGAAAAAAGTACTTAATTATCACGTTCTTAGCACAATGTAATTGATCATGTTGATGAATCGCTTTAAAAATGCATCTGTGGGTTCTCAATGTTCCTTTCAGATGTGTTCCTGACGGATATTCGAGAAACTTGCATTTTGAAAATATAGTCAAAAACGTTTATTATTTTGTAAAAGCACTGTTGAAACTTTGAACACTATTTCTCAAATCCAAACACTAATCTTTTAGAGCCAACGGGGGAAAAAAAGAAAATAATTTATGTTTTCAATACAATATAAAACCTTACATAATTAAAATTGCATCATTTCCATTGGGTTTGATATCTTGCTAAAGCGGAATTTGTTTTAGTGACGAAAAATCAGCTGTATTTTAGCACGTGCAGTAATTTGACATAGTAACTTTCTGAAATTACTTAAATATTACGTTTAGAAATATTAATATTTGTTTAAATTAGCAGTTTTTACATTTTGTGATGAATAAGCACGTGCAGTAATTTGACATAGTAACTTTCTGAAATTACTTAAATATTACGTTTAGAAATATTAATATTTGTTTAAATTAGCAGTTTTTACATTTTGTGATGAATAAGCACGTGCAGTAATTTGACATAGTAACTTTCTGAAATTACTTAAATATTACGTTTAGAAATATTAATATTTGTTTAAATTAGCAGTTTTTACATTTTGTGATGAATAAGCACGTGCAGTAATTTGACATAGTAACTTTCTGAAATTACTTAAATATTACGTTTAGAAATATTAATATTTGTTTAAATTAGCAGTTTTTACATTTTGTGATGAATAAGCACGTGCAGTAATTTGACATAGTAACTTTCTGAAATTACTTAAATATTACGTTTAGAAATATTAATATTTGTTTAAATTAGCAGTTTTTACATTTTGTGATGAATAAGCACGTGCAGTAATTTGACATAGTAACTTTCTGAAATTACTTAAATATTACGTTTAGAAATATTAATATTTGTTTAAATTAGCAGTTTTTACATTTTGTGATGAATAAGCACGTGCAGTAATTTGACATAGTAACTTTCTGAAATTACTTAAATATTACGTTTAGAAATATTAATATTTGTTTAAATTAGCAGTTTTTACATTTTGTGATGAATAAGCACGTGCAGTAATTTGACATAGTAACTTTCTGAAATTACTTAAATATTACGTTTAGAAATATTAATATTTGTTTAAATTAGCAGTTTTTACATTTTGTGATGAATAAGCACGTGCAGTAATTTGACATAGTAACTTTCTGAAATTACTTAAATATTACGTTTAGAAATATTAATATTTGTTTAAATTAGCAGTTTTTACATTTTGTGATGAATAAGCACGTGCAGTAATTTGACATAATAACTTTCTGAAATTACTTAAATATTACGTTTAGAAATATTAATATTTGTTTAAATTAGCAGTTTTTACATTTTGTGATGAATACGTTAATTATGAAAATGAATAAAATCGCTGATATCCGATGAAGTTTGGAATTTTGATTCCGAGCGGAGCAATTATTGGGATGTCCGTCATCAGACAAAATTCGGACTATTCAAAGTCAGGTGAACATAGATTGAACAAAACGTTTCTGTTGTCTGATTTTTAATCAGTATTGCAGGATACATAGAATACATGGTCAGTGTATATAAGCTGTAGTTTAGCTCGGGACAGAAATCTTATATTTGAAGACACTGACCTTATATTCTCTATTTCTTCACATTTTACAAAACATCTACATGCTTTTATTTAGTGTGAACATATCAAGGTGCAACGTAATCGTAAACTGACGCTAGACCATCGACCTGTCATCTCCAAAATTGTGGCACGAGACGTATAGTCATATGCTTAAGAAAACGGAAATGTAATATATTGCTTTGGTTTCTTTGCGAATGATAGCTTGGCTTTCACTTCAGCTACTCGAAGAACATGTTCTTACCTTCATTGGATATTTAAACCGCTGTGTTTAATATTACAGGTTGGAAGTATCAGCTGTCTGACTTGAACTAGTCAGGTGAGGCGTCATGACAAGTACCCCGGCTGAGTTCGAACATGTAACGCCAAACATAAGTGAACTGGTATCTGGAGGTGCAGATGTGTGGACACCGGAAATAGTTACCACGGTAACCACAGTGATGTTTATACTTGTGGTAACGCTGGTCGGTAACGGTTTGATGATTGTGCTTCTTTTGTGTAAGCGAAGTAGACGAGTTAAAAGAGTCAACATCTTCATGACAAACTTAGCCATTGGAGATTTGGCTGTTGCGTGCATTACCATGACAACAGAAATTCTATTTGTAGCATTTGGTGAGTGGGTGCTTGGTCCTGTGTTATGTAAACTGACCGTTTATCTTCAAGTGGTTACTCTGGCTAGTGCAACATTCCTCCTTACCGGCATGAGTATCGACCGTTATCAAGTCATCGTTCGCCCTATGCAATCACTTGCAAAGCGACCAAAGATATGGACTAAAGTTGCGCTCGCATGGACACTGGCATTGATATTTGCTGTGCCACAACTTTTTATTTTCAAGGAAGAACGCGTGGTGAGAAGTGACGGTTCAAGCAAACTGAAATGTTTAAGCCATGGATACGACCATCCGTGGCAGCGTAAGTTATACTTCACGTTCTTTTCATCGTACGTGTTGCTTGTTCCGTGTATTCTTATGTTTTACTGCTATTATAATATAGCCAAAGTCGTCTGGAGTCGAGGCTCCAGTATAAGGGGAAGTAACTCATCACCAAGAATGTCAGGAAAACGTAACCTTATATCGGCATCACGAATGCGCGTTGTAACAATGACTTTGACCGTGATTATCGGATTCTTGGTCTGCATGATGCCATATTTCGCAATTTCTTTAATACGTATTTATAGTGATTACAGATTCCAACTGAAACAAGCTCTAAAAGTGTCTGAAATTATTTTTATGGTTCATAGTGCTGTGAACCCTGTGTTTTACGCCATATTTACAATGCATCAATGCCGTTGTAACAAATTATGTTGTCCCTGTAGAAGAAGGAACGTCAAGCTCAACTTAACTTCCAGTGGGAGCCGGAACAGCAGCAATTATATGGCAACATTCCATTCCTCAGGTTCATATGGAAACAAAGTTATCATAGCGAAACGTTTGATGAATGCAGAAAAGCCACGAACGAGAAAGGAAACTGGGCATTCTACTGGAACGATACCGGGAACTTATGTGAGGGAAACAAAAGTCAACTATCGATTTGAAATTGGCATCAACGTGGAAGAACGCAAGTGTAACGAGCCTAGTGTGGAATATTGTTACGTACAATGTACAGACAAAGCTTCATTTATTTAATCACGTGATCAGTGAAGCCTGTTTTAAAAGCTGCCTTATTTATGTCGCTGATGTAGCGGAAGCAGTAGACCGGAAAAGGACTTCCGGAAATGATAATGATCTATCCGATTTAATTAATTATTACATGACACAAAGTGGATGCACTAATCACGTGTATGATTGACCCGACACAGGATTGAGACTGAGCATGATTTCATAATTTAATTTCTTATCAAAAATAACAAAAATCGGTATATTATGTTCCTGTATGAAGGAGTTTATTATCAATTATTTCATTTGTTGTGAAATATTAATATGTTTTTGTATTTGTATTCATCTGGTTTTCTTTCTTCTCCTTATTTCTCCTTCTTTTTTTCACGAGAAACATTTCCAGATTCCTTTATCTATGATTTATGTCTACATATACATAATAAAAGACGTTGACCTCGCCGAATATAGAACATGTAATCTGTACTTGGTCGATGGGCAGTTATTAATCCTTAATTAGATCAGTAGAAATGTGACTCGGCAAATTATCGGTATGTCGAATGATTGGTACAATCTGCACTATAACTGATTTCATGGCGAATGGAGCTACAGCATAAACAGGAAAATAAGATCGGATAGTTGACAGAAGAGACCATCACTAGATTGGTCTTGTCAGAACTATGATTGGAAGCACTGCGTTAAGACGTGCAGGAGTCGTTAGGGTTACGGTTATGAAAATACGAGTTACGATGTCCAGAAATCTTCCGTCATGTTTTTCTTTGAGTATAGCATCGCCAGTTTCTTGTTACAGAATATTTCTCTTAATGACGATCATCTGACAATTAAGAGTTCGAGACGCCATCAACCTTACTTAACGACGGTGATCTGACAGTTAAGAGTTTAAGACGCCATTAACCTTACTTAACGACGGTGATCTGACAGTTAAGAGTTCGAGACGCCATCAACCTTACTTAACGACGGTGATCTGACAGTTAAGAGTTCGAGACGCCATCAACCTTACTTAACGACGGTGATCTGACAGTTAAGAGTTCGAGACGTCATGAACCTTTATTTACGTTGGTCACCTGACAATTAAGAGTTAAAGACCCCGGTATTGTATTTGTTTATTTTTGCTATATTGACTCATTAGGTCTTAGATCTCTTGAGTTCAGTTTAAAACCACTTTGTCACCAGAATGTTTGCGTCTGGAAATACGACTGAAATCAACCTACAGGTTTTGCATGCTGGAAAATGCATTTCCTGTATCTATTGCACGTACACTGGAAACTAAAGTATACAAAACATGTGGCGATGATTGTTCGCATTAGTGGCAAGTGATGGGTTTCTCAACTGTTTCCGGTTTAATATATTTGCTCTGATGTGACTTGTGATTCTACATATTGAATAAAATAGACACTTTTCCTCAATCAGTAAGACATCTTCTAATAGTACCACAGAAATATATATACTGTACATCATTAGATAATAGTACTCTTGCAACAATCTACATCAGATGGTATATCCGGGTTTCTTAACAAGCTCTTGTTATCTTAGTGTACGCCAGATCGGTATGAAAATACCAAGTAATATAAGAACAGCACATCGTGTCAAAATGTTACACTATACTAACTGCATGGAATATTTGTGAAATATCATGAATAAAATAAACCACAGCGTCATCAGATTTGGACAAAATATAACACAGTCTTAACACAGAGCGATCAAACATACAAAAGCGTCATCAGATTTGGACAAAATATAACATAATCTTAACACAGAGCGATCAAACATACAAAAGCGTCATTAGATTTGGACGAAATGTAACAAAACTGCAATACAGAGCGATGGAATATACCAGAAAAGTACCAGATTAATTAAATAGGTCAAGTCATCAGAATTTGGATAAAATATATAAATTGCAACACAGATTGATGAAATACACACATATCACAGCGTCATGAGATTTTCTGATATGAAATACACAAAAACCTTAATATATACCAAGGAATTATACCACAACGTAATATAACAACGACAATGTACTTAAGATTAGCCGGGAACTTATTACATCGTACCAGTTTACTTAAATGACCTAAGTCTTTCAGTTTTTATGCTGATTACTTTCAAAACTATCGGTCCTAGTTGTATTTACATATAAAGCTTGGCAGTAACACACTACACTATTTGTTCTTGACTAATTAGTCCTCGACAAATGACGATGCTCTCCATTCTATATCAGGTACAGTGGGTTTGGTATATAGATCAGCCTCGAGGTTTTACTAGCCGAACAGACATCTATTGCCGATCTGTCGTCTAATTACTGTCTCCTAACTCTATTGTTGGAAGGGAGTGGAGGTTACCCTTTTTTATCTGTTATGTTAACCTATATTTTCTTACCGTTTCACAGAAAGGCAGCTGTAGGAATCACTAAGTTTAAACATATTTTATTTCACAAAATGATTTGACACTTTTTTTTTGCTAAAAGTAAAGCAGTTACTGTTAACAATCAGAGCTTTCTGATTGGTAGAACTATTCCAACATTTTACCAGTGACCCCTATCGGCAGTCGTATGTTAGAAACAATTCCGCAGTCTTATAAAACAGTCATGCAAGAATACTGTCGGTGTGAGACAATCAAGTATCACGTGTTTACTAAACACCTACCAAAATTGACAGACTAGATGTTCATGAGAATATTCAATTAATTTGCGTCAATCACAAAGAGCTTCACAGTTTGCAGAGGATTATCCAGGGCCGGACAATATGGAGGAACCCAAAGAATTACGAGATAGTCGATAACAATTGATAACCAGCGAAGGTAAAAGTCATATATTTCAAAATAATCAATATAGTTAGCAACATCATAGATACGATAACAATACACCCTTTTACTAAGTTTCATGTTTGTATTTGTAAAGTTGATTGACCAGGAGAGAGTTAAATTTTCCTCAATCGCCGGCGGCACTGTATATCGCACGCGAGGAAATCGTCTTCAATTATATATCTTAAAATACTAAATAAAGTAAGTGACGATCAATATATGTACTTAATATGATATTAACACATTGATTTACGGAATTTTAGTTTCATATTTGAAAAATGACCGAATTATGACGATTTTACTCTAACGACTGCTTGGCGCACGTTTGTGCGATTTATACAAATACCAGGGGTAATCGTGATACGCCTTCAGACATTTTTGCCTAAAATACTCAAATAAGTTAGCGACATCATAAGATTGTTGTTGATATGATTGATTTTAACAGAGATGTATATATTGTTCGTCACACAATATTATGCACAAACCATATAGCTACGATCTTCGCGAGTGAAGTTTTCTCTCACATCGTGCACGTGCCAACTGACACAATCTGAGGCCCCAACTCTGTATTGCAAGCGATCGATATGCGGAGCAAGGAATGTAGGGAAGTGTACTTTGTCATGTTCTTTCACTATATAGTTTGATAAGATAACTGAAAACTATCCTTATTATGACACATATGTAATTACCTTGTAAGACTCACTGATATGCTTTATAAACACTAACGAGGCCGATTTTAATCAATAATGAATCTGTAGTAACAAGATCAATGTAGACTCCACATAATAATATCAACACAAACTCCCACCAACATACAAACAGAATGCACCTGGCTTCTCCGATGTGATATTTAACACGAGAGAGAATAAAATGAACTGTCATTTCTTAACACTCGAAATAAATCCTTTATAATCTGTTGTGAAGTTTTGTTCTGGGTTCAATATCCAACACCAATTACAGTGGCAATTTCTTGATTTGTAACTTTAAATTGTTTCCTGGAATTGTACATTTTGGGCAGATTTCTCTTATTTGAATAAAAATGTATAAAAGCATTCAAATTTTGCCGTTGATCTTCTATAAAAGTGATTAATGCGTAATTTTGCATGTGATTAATTATATTTCACATATAAAGTTACAAATATATATATTAGCGAGCATAGGTTCGAACGGCCCGCCTGCGAAGTAAGCCTTAAAGATAACACGCGCGAAGAAAACAGTGAACATTTTCACACACACTATCAGTTATGAAGTGGTGACACCGAAGCGAAATTTTCAGGGTAATGACGGACAAAAGTATTTCACGTTTTGTGACGTCACAAGGTTACGTCGTCAGTAGCGGTAAAGTATCAAACGATATTTTCGGATAATAGATATACATTTACTTTCCTAAGACTTTCGTATTTGGCAGCATAACCCTTTGCCTTGTTAACAGCCCGAAATCATCGTGGCATGGAGCGTAATATAAGTTATTTATGTTTGTCAGAGAAAACGTAGCCAGATTCTTTTGACGGCAGCGATCAAGTTGGCGCGGTTTTTTATTGCATGTGTTTCTTTCTCCAGTCTGATCTTTATTATCATCCACACATTTTCAATCACAGGCAAATCTGGAGATTGGGATGGCCAGACAAAACAATTAATTTCGTTGTCCTTTTTTCATTGCAAGGTCCCCAAAAGAGTTGTGGGTGGGCGCATTATCATCCTGGAAAACAAACTCTCCGCTGGGAAAATGTTTGGCAATTACAGGCCATGCGTTTTCTTTCTGAATATCTATGTATTTCCTAGAGTTTATATTTCCTAGAACTTCCACAATTGTGCCTACTCCGTCGATACAAATACATTACGCTTGTCCTGACGTCAACGTTTTTGCTATTGTAGATGCCGATGCACTCTGGCCGCCACGCCAACGTTTTCGCCACACATAAACACGCCGAATTTTATCCAATACCACCTGCATTTCATCTGAAAAAATGATTTTTTCCCCCAATGTATTTGAATAGTCCAGTGTAGACGATCACGACACAATAATTTTTTTTCTATTTTCGGGCAATATTGTCAGTGTTTTTGTGACACATCGCCCATGTTAGCTCTCAACTTCCAATCTCCGCTGAATTGTACGTTTAGACACTGGTTGTGGAACTGTTGAATTCAGTCATTAAATCCTTCAAATACCGTCTTCTATCACTTTTCACAAACAGATTTAGAACATGGTCCCC